TAGTCTCACAATTTCATCCTTCTATATTCTAAAAATTCGTCCAAAAATAAATTAAAAATTTCAAAATTATCCTGAAGCCTCAAATCACTTTTCTATAACCTCAAAAATATCTATTCATATTTAAATAAATATTTAATAATCAGAGGTTCATCCCTACATCTCAGATTCCACATAAATTCAACCATATAGATCTAGATTTTAACTCAAAAATTCTTAAACATGAGTTTCAACCTCAAAAAAATATTCTATAATATTTATTATATCCCTAAGAGTTTTAACCTATATTTTTAATCCATCATATTATCAGATTAATTATCCTATAGAAAAATTCTAATCAGAATATTTACTCTATCCTACAAAATAATCATATCACTAGAAAGTTAATATTATTTAGAAAATAACTATAAAATTAATTTTGTACTTAAATAATTTTTAAATACTAATCTAAACAAGAAAGTTGGAACTACATGAAGAAAAAGAAAATAATCCCCCCTTGCGAGAAGACGCCGAGCAACGTGAGAGAAAGAGAAAAAAATAATATAAAAATGAGATTTTAGGTCCCACAATTATATTAAAAAAATTATAGGTCTAAATTTAATTATTTAAACTTTTAGGCCATTACTTGTAATTTTTACAAATTACACCTTGGGCCATTAGTTATAATTTTCACAAATTATAAAAAATTTCTTTTTGCTTCCTTCTACGTCTCCTCGCCTGTGCCTCCTCCTTTTATATGTGAGAAGGCACTTCACCTTCCCACATCTAATCGATGTGGGACTTCTACAGCACCCCTTTTTTTTCTTTTTTTTTAACTCACACACACACATAATTTTTTTTATTTTAAATTTTTAAAATTATATTTTAACAAAATATTTCTTATATAATTTAAACCTAAATTTTTAATTTATAATTAAATTTCTAACCATATTATTATTTCTGAATAATCTCAAATAATATAAATTCCTATTATTATCATTTTTTTAAAAATCAGGATGTTATAATGTGTCGTTTGTTAATTACTACCGTAGACCCCAAACTATTATGTGAGTAACATTCTAGACTCTAAACTTTAAAATTTTGAGCAAATAACCCCACCATTTATGTATAGAATGTTAACTATTATGTAGATTAAATTAACATCAGTATGGTTTGCTATGGTGAATGCATCATTAGCCATGACAACCAACCCATAATTTTTTGAAATTACATTTTTTGTCTTCTTTTTTGTAATATTTTATAAACAATTGATATCTCATGCTTCCGTATATTTTATAACTCTAATTTATTTTTATTTTGAATAATATTTTTTTATTTAATGTGAAAAATTGGAATCCCATTGAAAAAGAAGTTAAATATAAGAGAATTTTAATTAACTGGTTAATTTGGGTTTTAAGTTCATTGATGAAATCATTGACTTTCACATCCATCATCTATAAAATCTTATGATATTTAAATTTTTTCAAATGTGATCCCAAGTTTTTACCATTAAATAAATAAATATTATTTAAAATAAGACTAAATTAGAATTACAGAGTATACGAAAAAATGAGATATCAATTGTTTGGAAAATATTACAAAAAGGGCAAAATATGATTTTATAAAATTATGGGTCATTTGTCATGGCCAACGATGTATTCACTGTGATGAACCACACCAAAGGTAATTTCATCTATATAATATTCAACATTGTATATATAAATGGTGGGGATAATTTGCTTGAAATTTTAAAGTTTTGGGTCCAAAATGCTACTTTGTAACAGTTTAGGATTTATGGCGCTAATTAACAAATGATACATCATAAGGGACTACCACGTCAGCATTTAACTGGGGCCCATGATAAATAGTAATGGCATTATTAAAAATATAACTGTAGAATTAATTACCTATAAATTTAAAAGTTTAGGATTTATCTTATACATTTAAGAGTTTAGGATTCAGGAACTTTCCGAATAAAAGTTCAGGATTCATTTTGCTCATTAACCCTTTATAATATCTTTGTGATCTTTATTTGTAAAAATAATTTATTATTTATTTATTTTAAAATTTTATAATACTTTTATATATTTCAACATTTTTGTGACATTCTCTTTTATCTATATTATTTTGAGGGATTCAAATCTTTTAAGTTTTTCTATCAAAAGTTTAGTGAAAATGGCAGCATCATAGCCATTGCTTAGAAGCATCAAACCACATAATTATACCATGTAATCATTAATACGTTGTGTTTCAGATGGGTGAGGGTGGTTTTAAAACAGAATATTGTCGACAAAATGCTTCTAGTGTTTCCCTCAGTAAATCAAACGTGCGTGGCTGTTTTATTCTCCCATCATCAAGAGGCAAATAAAAAACATTTAATTGCATGGAAGTCATTCTTATGGGTCCCCCCAACAACTTTTGTTCTTCCAAAATTCTAAATAATTCACTACACAAGCATATTAGAATGAAAAGGGCAAAGGCAGAGTTGGAATGCCAAACTGTTAAACTCCAAATATAACGGTTGAACTCTTAGGTATTTTGGAGGAAATTAAGTTTTGTTGGATTGTCAAACTCATCAAAATTCATATTTATTTTGATTTTTTAGAAGCTTTGTCGTTCATCTAGCGCAATTTTTGCCATAATCACCCCTCTCTAAAATCATTAATAGATTTAGAGATCTTGCTATAAAAAATTAAATTATCACTTTTGATTACATTTTTAAATAAACCAATAAATGTGCTGATATCCCTACTTATCAGGTACTTGATGTAATATTATTATCTACAGTGACCCTTTTTAAGATGCAGAGACCTAATGGTCTCTGATATGATGACTTGGTTTACTTGTTCTTTACATAATTTATTCGTGACTTTGTATTAACCAAAAAAAGGTACAGGGTTGAAGTTGCTGTGCTATCACGTTTAATGAAGAATAATATTACACTAGTTGAAGTAACATTGCTGTGCTATATCATGATGTTTTTCCCAAGGATGCTAGCCAAAAAGAAATGCGGCCCTTGAAACGCTATGCTTTAATTGACACGGCATAATATTGTGGTTTGATGGGAGCAAGGTTGTCCTACCTGATAGAGTTGGCTTCTCTCCATTTCTTTTCCTCTCCATTTCCTCTCTAATTCTCATCTCAATTATTGGATCTATTTTTGAATGATTGAGATTTGATGTTTTATAAAATTATTATTAATAAAACATCAAATCTCAACCATTCAAAATAGATCCAATGGTTGATATGAGAAGTGGAGAGGAAATAAAGAGGAAAGGAAATGAAGAGAAGCCTATAATAATTTTATAAAATATCAAATCTCAACCATTCAAAAAATAGATTCAATGGTTGAGATGAGAAGTGGACAGGAAATAGAGAGGAAAGGAAATGGAAAGAAGCCAACTCCGTCCAGCCCCCAACTTCACCAAACTTCAAAGAATAAAGTTTGGAGGATTTAAATCCTATTTTGAGTAGCTATTCAAAATAACTTTTCAAAATATTTAATTTATGTTCTTTTTAAATTCTAATTATTTGTAAGCATTTAATTAAACATTATAAAATTTCACAAAATAACTTTTTTAAAAAAATAAGTGTTTTTATAAAAAAAAACTTAAACAAACCACCTTAAGGCCTATTTGTTAAAATTGAAAAATAAATGAGTTTTAGATATTTTAGAGATTTTCTAAAAAAAATTTATTTTTTACAGATTTTACAAAAATCAGCCATTATTTTATATTTGGTTATATTAATGAGATTTTATAAAAAATATTTATTTTGTAGAGATTTTACAAAAATCAGCCATTATTTTATATTTGGTTACAATAATGAAAAATAATTATTAGTTAGTTTTTAAATTTTATAATATCTTCCTTAATTTATGCTTTATAGAAATAATTTATTATTTAATTATTTTAAAATTTTATAATATTTTCTCGTAGTTCACTTTTTTTAAACATTCTCTCTCATTTATATATTAGATTATTTTCAAAAGCTATTCAAAATATCTTCTTTAAAAAAATCAAAAAATCTGTTTTTTTATTCGAATTATTTTCAAAATGTTAGATAAACATTATAAAAACTCAAATAAACATTTTTATAAAATAAGTAATTTATTTTTAATAAAAAAGTTAAAGCAATTAGCCCTTAGAATATGCTTGAAAGTATATAATAAATAAAAAAATGATTATTAATGAAATGAAATGAGGTAATTAAGTGAAGTGAGATTATTTAATTATTTTTTAATAATTATTATAAAATTAATCTATTTGGGTTAGATATATTTACGTTTTTAAATTTTAGAGTGAGAGAGGGTGAGGTGAGAAGCTCGATGGTAATTTTATAATAATATTATTTATATCATATTATTTTATCTTTTAACCTCAAATTGGAGTTAGATTAAGATGGTTAAGAATGATTTCAATGGTCATCTAAGCCATTCTACTTTTTTAAAAAAAAAACAAATACAAATAATGGTATCAAATTTATAGCCATCAATCTCATAAAAAACTTCTTAATCTAAAAGCTTGGTATTGGACTTGATAACTTGATGCCAATACTTCTCCACATCTTCTAGAATATTGATAACTAATATTAATTATAATTTTAGGACTTTCTAATTTGAGGCACTCTAAAACCTTTGATAAAAAATTTAAATAAGTGGAGTTCGAATTCACCAAAACTAAAACATACCTACAAAACTCAAAAAATATTTATAAAAGTACTTATAAATATTTATTAAATGAATAAACTTTTGTTGATAATTTGTTTTAATACACACATATATATAAAGTTCGTTTGTTTTATCTTATCTTATAAAAAATTGCTTATTTTTTTAAAATTATTTTGTGAGGTTTTAATATGTTTTTCAAACTTTTAAAAATAATTGAAATAAAAAAAGTAAATTTTTTAATTATTTTAAAAAGTTATTTAAGAGTTGGAAATAATCTTAAACAAACGGCCCATAGAAGATTTCCGATAAAAGAATCTTCTAACTTGGGAGTTGGAAGTCTCCCAAGCCGATGTATTCAGGCTTCAGCGAGTTCCACGTATGACAGAACAAAGCATGTATGGGATTGGTGCTCATAATTTCTCCACACAAAAATACCAATCCTGCCAGCTCTTCCCTTTTCCACCTCCGTGCTTCTATTTCTCACTCCTCTCCGCCTCTGGACATGGAGTCGAACCCATCGGATGCAGTGATATTCGCTGGACTCTGTCTGGCTTTGGGAGTTGCTTGTAGGCATGTTTTGCGACGGACCAGAGTCCCTTATACAGTCGTTCTGCTCATCATTGGCATTGGCCTCGGATCATTAGGTCTGCTTTCTCACAACTCATGCCCTGAATTTGCTTCCTCCTCTTCTTTTCTAATAAACTAGTGTTGCATGGAGTCTACTGTTTACGTACGGCTTGTTTGAGCTTTTTTTTTTAAAAAAATTATGTATCTGTTTTGCTACCCCCGTTTTGGCTTCCTCAACTATTGAATACGAGATTTAAATTTTCTTTTGTGGGTTGTTATAAGCAACAGAAGGTTGAAAGTGATGAAGTATGAAATTGATGCATGATGGTTCGGCTAACTGTGACATGTTTGATAAAGAAAGTAGAACAAAGAAAAATCCCAGATATTATGGACTTTTTGATTGTAGTTTGCCTTTATTATGTTATTCATGGTTTTCATATAACAACCCACAAATAGCAGACATGTGAATATCATATACCTTATTCACATCAATTTCTGTATAATTGATCCATTCCATTCTTTCTTTCTCTCATTTTTATTTTATCTGAAAATTTTGAAGTGTTGCTTCATATGCTGGCATCACACAGTGATGATATTGTTCATCATGCTTAGAGCAGGGCCGTGTGAAGGAGCTTTAGGGTCTAGGCGAAATTATTTAAGAAACCTAATATATTATCATTTATCTTTTTTCATATTATTTTTTCTAGCTTTTTAATACGATCCTATCTCTAAAATTTACATCAATATTTTTCCACTGCCCTGGATCATAAATATTTTGAGATGTTTCATTTGATGTACTATTATTATGTTCAACAATTTCTTCCATTAAATTATCTTCATTTAAATTTTTATCATCTTCTCATTCTTGATTGGAATTGAAACCACAAATATTTTCACCTTATCTTTAAGGGATTCTTCTATCATTTTTTTCATCAATTGAACTTGTTGCTACATCTTTTATATTTATGAATGGTAATAAATTTATCAAGAGCACCACCTTTATTGAATCAATTTTTCAACTTTTCTTTTCTTTTTCTTTTTTATTTATTAAAACCAGATTCAAATTTTCTATTTAACATTTTAGCCACTTCAAATCCTATAAAAATTAAAAAAATCACAATTTCAAATAAAAAGTAAAAGAAGAAAAAACACACCTGATATGACTTAATACTTTAGATCATAATTGGTGTTTTTGTTTTCAAGCAAAACTGTCATTTTCAAATAAAAATATATTATTAATATTAATGCTTAACGAGGAAAATAATAACTAATTATATAGAGTATAGGTAAACATTCAAGCAAACAAGAGTATAGGTGAACATTTTTGGAGGCCTAAGGCGACGGCCTCATTGGCCTAACAGCACACACTGCTTTGGCTTAAAGTGGAACAAGAGAATATTTCAAGTCAAAGAAGAGGCAATAATGACTAATCTTTTTTCTTTGCACTCTGTACATTTTTCAATGAACTACAAGAAGAGCCAACAAGGGATGTTTCTTGTCTTAATTTTATTTTTTAATTATATTTCTTGAGTGCAACCTGCAAGAATTCTTCCATTTTCCATTTAAAGGAAGTTTGCTTATTAAACATCCTGTTAACAAGTTAAGCTTTTGCATGCCAACAACTCTAGTTCCTGAAAATGTGACGTTTGATGTTCCTATCAAGGACTAGTGAATAGATAAAACACAGTACAGAAAATTTATGCTTGCAATATTTGATTCAGAAGAAAGAAGAAAGAAGTGATTAGACATGGGCCACATGTAAGTTGTATTGCTAAGATGATGGTTGTTTAGACAGGATGTTTGATGATCATTAGTGTGGCCCAAAAAAACAATGGTATTTTTATAATAATACAAGTTCAGACAAAATCTTCATGTTATCTTGAGTTAAAGTAATAAAATTGATTTTTGTGATAGTTATGGGAGTCCAAAATACTGGACAGGTTATTGGGTTTAACTGGTTTTCCTTTGTTTGATTTTTAGGTTCATTAGAGGTCCCTTGGGTCTTTGGACATGTTTAAACTTTCCCATTGTAATGGCACTTCCAAGATATTGAAACTAGCGACTCATTGTTTCAAATCTCACATTATACATGTTTGAATATGCGCTTGTGTTTTATGATTTTACCTATTATTTTCAATTAAGTCAACTGATCATCATTGGACTTCTCAACAGAATATGGTACTCATCATCAACTGGGAAAGATTGGCAATGGAATTCGTCTTTGTAAGTCTGGTCAACGTTTCATTTTATTAATTTCAAAACTTATTTGTATGTCAAAGAAAATAATTTATGGACTTGGAAATTAGAATATAAATTCAACTTAAGCACCTTTAGTCTTTCCAGCTCATTGTTCAAAATAACTGGAGATTAGCAATTTCAATATGCAGGGTCAAAGATTGATCCAGGGCTTCTGTTAGCTGTTTTCCTTCCCCCACTCCTTTTTGAGGGCTCATTCTCAATGGAATTTCACCAAATTAAGGTTTCTTTACTCTGTTTTTCCTTGACCATAAGCATAATTGTTTTATAAATTAACTAAGATTTCAAATTATGATAGTCTCAGACTGTTGTGGTTGTCTCTTCGTCATGCATGTATGCCTGCAATGGCATCTGTTACATGATAATGTGCAGTGACATCTATTCAATCAATCATGCATACTTCCATAACTAAACCCTCACGTACTTATGAGCAGTTTATAAATTAATTTGGTGCTTTCCTGGATTTAAGGTGAAATTGCAATGCATTTTTATTTGTTTGTTTTGGATGTCGAGCAACTATTGGGGAGAAAATGGTAGAAAATTGATTAAGATGATTTGTTCATATACAATGAAGGCCAATAGAGGTGCTAGTAAGGAGAGGTGAGCAAATAGTCTTTAGCCCTATGAAAAAAGAGGTAGAGGGAATGAGGAAGGACACTTAAAGAAGTCATCATTCTAGATCTCCTTGTTAATGGTTTATTGGAAGATTTTGGATAGAGCACAATGATGTTGTGCAAATTATGCAGCCGACTCCACTTGGTAGAATAAAGTTGGCCGTTGGAGATCAAGCAAATGAGTATCATCCATTGGCTGGCATTTTATCATGCTTTTTTACTTATTGTTATTGTTCTGTTATTTATTCATTCTTTATTCTGTTATCTACTTAAAACATTCTGACTAGGTTGTTAGGGGAATTAATCTCTTAGGTATCTTATCCCAAGAGATTTTGTATTTAGACTTAATACTCTAAATGTTGTGTCACTAACGTTTAATGAAAAGCGGAACAGAGGCACTGTTTCGTCAACTCTGATTCCAGGTTCTGGAAAAGCATGAATTACTACATTAGTTCTTTGAAGCCCCTAAATTTTCATTAATAAAATTAATGGAGAGAAGGATAAAAGAAGTGAAGAACACTTTATAAAAAAGAAATGGAAAACCAATACAGAGGACAAGATATTCATCTATATAAAATAGAAAAAAGAAGAAAACTAAATGAATCACTTTGAAATGATTCATTGTAATTTTGAAAATGGAAGCATAATCCATTGTAAACAAACCCCTATGGTTGGCCATATGCTATAAATATAGCATTGTTGGAAAAGGAAGAGGGGTAAAAGAAGAACAATGCTTGATCCCCCAACAGCGTGGAGGAATTTTCAGGGAATGGGTTCATTTGGATGCATAATGTTAGACTCTTTAACAAGAATTTTTTATCTTTATAATTTTAATGGGATGGGAATGTTTTAATTGTTTTCTTATGGGTTTTAGTGCATTGTTTGGGAAGGTTATTATTGAGCTTGCTGATCAGTTGGTACTTTTCCTTGTTTCTGTTCTTTTTTGGCAGTCTTCTTGACTCCAGCTTCAGTGATTCATTTCTATTATTGAATTCTCTTGCATATAAAACTATATTAATCTATCAAGAACCGCTTTAATTCTGTAGCTTAAGTTGCTAGGTGAAGGCTTGCATGCATGGATATGAAAACTCTTGTAAGAGCACGTCAGGCTTGAAGTGTAGACAAAGGAAACACTGATTTCCATCTTGCCTTGAAATTTAATTTAATTAGGAGAATGGGGTGGCAAGGGTTGAAGCGGCTTTCGTGCTATGTCAAGAACTAAATTAATCTAGAAGCTCAAGCTATTAGGGTTTTGTCCTTAACATTATGCTTCGTAAACCATAAAAGAAGCTTTAATGTGTGAATTGTTGCTTTCTATGGCTGTGAACAGTGTGTGAAAATAGTAACTTTAGGGTATCATAGCATTTTGGGAAAATTTGTCGGGAAGATGGTTGGGGGTTGTGCAACTGGAAATATGAATATGGAAGGTACAGAATTACCAAGGACTAAATTCGTGTGACAAACCACTTGCACTTTAGAGCCTCAAGCCCTCAAGCTTCAATGGCCTAACCTCAAGATGGCTTGTTAGTGTGAACTGATAGCTGTGTCTCATCCTTCTTAGACTTCCAAAGACAAATTTGTTTTATAGTTTCCCCCGTGACCATATTCCTGTACTAGATCCTTCTCGCTGCACTTCACTATCATCTTCATTTTCCTTGGCTATGTCTTTGTCTTGTTTGTTTCGCTTTTTCTATTTGTTTGCTGGCCTTCTTCTAGATGCATTGAGATTCAATATTCTCTGTCACAAAACAGAGGGAAAAAAACTGTGAAGCACTTTAATATGAAATGAGCTTTCAGACTTTAAGGCCCTCTTCTACAAATTTGAGCCTAATTTTTGAATTTTTTAAATGTATTATTTTAAAATTGATATGAAATGGCTATGTTCTCTGATTGAGTAGTGACGCTCTAACATCAAAATGAAGAAATTGGAAACCTTTACAAGATTTGAAGAATGGCTAACAGTGAACATGGCTGAACTGAGATACCCTCTTGTTTGTATCATAATATAATGATGTTGTTAACTGCCCTTTGCTGCTTTACCAGCAGTACTTCGTCTAATTTTGACTTCAATATAATTTTTTCTACAGTGGTGTATTGCACAAATGATATTACTAGCTGGTCCAGGTGTTTTGCTCTCAACTTTCTGTCTTGGATCTGTTTTGAAGGTACATGGAAAGCCGTTTGTTTGACTTTCATCTCTTATATCAATTTTTTAATCAATTTATGTCATAATGCAGCTTACTTTTCCATATAACTGGAGTTGGAAAACATCATTATTGCTTGGCGGACTTCTGAGTGCAACTGATCCTGTAGCTGTTGTGGCTTTGCTGAAAGAGCTTGGTGCCTGCAAGAAACTGACTACAATAATTGAAGGGGAATCCATGATGAATGATGGGTATTCAATTTTAGATGATTTCACTCTTATTCTGTACTTGTTTCTGCATATGATGATTTTATGTCCTTTACATATTTCCTTTCTGACTATGCTTGATTTTTATGTCCAGAGTGGCAATGGTTGTTTATACACTATTTTATCGGATGGTCCTTGGAGAGAGCTTCAGTTGGGTGGCCGTAATCAAATTTCTATCAGAAGCTTCTCTCGGAGCGTAAGTTTTACCTGTTTTGTTATTGCAATGATGGCAAATTTTCATACTGCTTATATGATTCTTTCCTTAGCCCAGTGTAGGAATTGGTCTTGCTTTTGGGATAGCATCAGTTTTGTGGCTTGGATATATTTTTAATGATATAGTAATGGAGATCACTCTAACACTTGCTGTTAGCTATGTTGCTTACTTCACTGTAAGTTGCTTTCAAACTTGGGTGCATGTTTTAGCAGTATTTTTCTTCTCATTTGCTTTGTCTTTGATTTATTCTTTGATAGCATTACCTGTAAGTTTACGGATCTGGTCATTCTTTTTTGTAGCCTGATTATTCAAAAGTTTCTGGGCACCAAGATGATTCATTTTGTTCGTTTAACATGTCTCTGAAAGCTGACTGATTTTGTGATTATGAGTTCTATGGATATGTTCTTTCAAATTTGAGTATATAAATTAACTCAATGCCAACCACACCTTCATGTTTATCAGTTCATGGCAGTTGGTGTGCACTTCATTTTATATCCAACCATATGCAATCATATTTGATTTTTCCTTCTGGGTTCATCTCAAAATTGCTTTCATCTTGTGTATGGATGGCTTTTCTCTGATAGGCTCAAGAGGGTGCTGATGTTTCTGGCATTTTGACGGTGGTGACTCTGGGAATGTAAATTGAGCTTCTGGACTAAGCATCTTTACCCCTTATATTGTAGACATCTTGTTATTGAAACTGTTGTATAGGTTTTACTCTGCAGTTGCAAGGATAGCTTTTAAGAGCGATGGACCAGGAAGCTTGCATCACTTTTGGTATGGGCTTATACTTATATATAAATTGAAATGGCATATTTTATTTGATGAAAGCTTAAACAATCAGTGGCAATATTTTTGTTGTTATTTTTAAACTTTCAACTAACATAGATTTGAATGCCAGAACAAAGAAAAGAGGGAGGGTGTTGAGGATTATTGAACTGGCTCTTTGTGTGTGTGTGTGTGTGTGTGTGTGTGTGATTTTTTTTTTTGGGGGGATTTTCCCTCGTAATATTGACCATGGTAAAGGGTTGTTTTCTTTTGGATTGCTTGTGGATTTTGTGTTGGAGCTAGTTTTATTTAATTTTTTTATTGCAAAATTCTATTTTATGGCTTCCATAGAAATTAAGCCATTTACTTATCCAATTTTTCACTACTGGGTTAATTCTAAATGTTCAATCAAAGACAATATATTGTTAAATTTCAATTTCCAATACAGTTGTTCTTATTGCATTGTTGATCTACGTATCTACTAGATGTTATTGGAATCTGATAAAGCCCAACCAGAACAGAAGATATAAAATACTGATTACATTAAATATCAAAATACTCTTCTCCCCAATCGAAAGAGAGTTACAGTACAAGGAAACCCGTTCAAATAGAGGAAACAGTCTATTGGAAACTACACTCACTAACAAACTAACACAGAAACAGTAAAATGATGAAGAAAGATAATCTTCCTCCACCCCAAACCTGGCCTTCGAGAGGCCAAACTCTCCTCATTGTTTTCAATTTCAAAATATGACTTCACTTCTGCTAGGAGACTCGAACCACTAATATAAGCCAAAAAGTAACAGAGTCTCCAATACTACCCTCTCATAGCCAAGACCTATTGCAGCCCTACAGCAACTCTAATTGCTTGTTTCTTTCCCCTTGACGTTTGGAGTCTCGAGCTCAATGCCTTGACCATCAAAAAGTTGCTTTCCCTTTTCTTGAATCTTCCCTAGTCTCCTCTCATAGCCCTTAGCAGCAAAAGTAGTTCTATCATGACCCTCCCCTTGAAGTTTCACCTTGTCCTCAAGGTGAGAAGCATAAACAGCAGTTGAACCAGGAGTTGCATTTTCAGTTTTCTTCCAAAAATATTCAATCTTCTGTAACTATGGAATCAAATTGGCCTGCACCAGAAATTTTTCTTCACAAGAACAATTATATCTACCAATTAATCCGTTTGAATAGTCATGCTATTCTTCTTCAATCCTTTGTCAATATTTTCAACTTCCATACCAGAGAACTGAACCTTATAACAAATATTATGTGAAAACACAAATTTAAGTTGTATTTCAGCAACAACAGAACCAGGATGCAGAACACTTGTATTATGATCCACAGCACCTGTAGCCTTTGAGAAAAAGAAGCAATCTATTAGGCTCACTAAAAACTGTTTTGTTTTCTTCAACAGACTTGGAAGCAAAACTTTGTCCTCCAGTTTCATTGAAGTTTGATTCAGTGGGTTCTTGAAAATTTTCATCTCCTCTGATAAAAAAACAAGTGCTGCAGGGGGCATTATCTTCATCACATTTGGTGGGCTTTATAATGTAGACAAGAAAAATATTGATCAGCACTTATCAATTGATCTTGAGTTCAGTGTGCTCTACTTTCCAAAAAAAAATGTTTTGGGGCTCTGTCCCACCCATCCTCTTTCATCTGTTCCAAGACCCAATAAGACCCCACCTTTCTGCACTTATAGTTGCTGTCTTTTCCACTACCACTTCTCCACTCTTTTCCACCCTTCTTTCCACCATCATCTAGAATCCCCAAAATCTGTTCCCATCCGTCATCTCCCTTCCTTCTTGTTGTTTGAGCCTTAAACAGGGAAGTTGACCCCTCAAGCTTGCTGTTTTCCACTGCTGTAACTGAAAGTGCCACTATTTCTATTTCATGGGACCTGCAAAATGGAGAAAATGTTTCTGTCTTGCTTATCAAAGCCAGCAGAAGCGATACATCATCTTTCCCCTTCTTTCTTCTTGTGGTTTCGCCCTCAAGCGAAGATTGATTTTGATCATGATTAAATCTATGGTAATATTTTAAGCTCTGAGATAGCATTGAGAGGATAAAAATGTAGCCTTGCATATACTTATATCCAATGAACAACTATATTCTTGCTTTTGGATAACCAATTCAGGCAAAAACCAGATTGATTCCAAAATTAATATACTCAAGGAGCCAATGGCTATAAATTCCATGCTGCAAAACGCTTAAACCTCTTAGTGGGGAAAAATATTAAAGAGAATGTGCTGGAACCCTCTACTCTTTTAAGCTTAAAAACAAGCAAAACCAGAAAAATACACTTCAAATGTAACTAAAAATTACTATTGCTGAATAATAGAGTGGGATTACAAGCAAAATAAGGACTGAAACTACACTCAGATGACCATTATAGAGTACATAAAACGACAGAAAATACACCCTTTGAACAGCAACACAAACACAAGCCTCTCACAAATATACACTAGGTCAACAGATAAAATGATGGAGAAACTTCACCCCCAATTTGGCATTTGAGAGGTGAGAAATCTCTCACTTGACCAGAATTCTCCAAAATACTCCACACCCTTCACTCTAGGCAAAGGGAAAGGTTTAAAGACACAAAATGTTACAAAAAGCCGAACATACTCCTAGCTGTACGTAATCCCTTCTCATACACCACTTTTTCCCCTATGGCCAAGAACCTTTGGGTAATTCCCTTATCTGCTGGAGGATAATTCTCTAGTCCATTGGAGTTGCTCTTTCCTACAACATTTCCCTTCCCTTAGATTATGCTATAGGCCCTAGGAAATGATATATAAATCTTCTGTATTTCTGAAGCTCTATCATAATGAAATTTGAAGTTATTTTCTTACCAGCCCCATAATAGGAAACTACAATCTCAGCAATAATTATTGATGAGAATACTGTGAATTTTGGTGCAGCTTGGTAATAACCTAACAAGTGAAATAGGAGGGTAGCTTCAATCTGCAATGTGTAGTGTATATTGTAGTTGTACCTCCTTACACTTGTATCGTTGCTTCTGCCTGACTTGGCGATGGCTTTTTGGGTCAACCCAATCACATATTCCTTCCACCAATATTGGGTCTCATCTCGTTGCATTCTAGACTAGAAAAAAACTGCAGATTTGAATTCAATTGTAGTGTCCATTGAGCAAGCTTCAAGTTTCCCATGTCTTTCCGCTTTCCCCACAAATTCTCTATTCTTCCCCTCAGGGCTAACCTTAGGTGTTTTGACTGAGAATAAACCCTGTACCTTTTACTCATTGCTTCTGATTCAGGAACCAATTGCAAGACTTTGCTACTTCTCTTGTGCGTTGCGCCATTGATCTCAGCAACCTGCAGACAATACTTTGATCCAATTTGTTTCGCTGCGTCTATATTTGATGAAAGTCGTGCCAGAATTTGTGTGTTTAAGCACGACATTGATAGGTAAGCTTTTGTCTTTGTGGGTTTCACTTTGAGCGGCATAATAGGATGCTCCCAATTAAAGAGTGATTGGGAAGATTAGGTTTCTTTCTTTTACTTTAAGGCCCAAGCTCACTATCTTCTTAGACGTGAGACTGAATGTCATATGAGGCTGGATCATCCTCCTTTTAGATATTAAGAAGAAGAAACTATCAGGCCCAAGGGAGTTGCCATCATTTAGTATTGGGCTTCTGCTACAATTAATTAACCTAACCTGATCTAGTCTCCACTTCCTCTTCTCCTCTTTGCTATTAACATCCTTTGCCTTCAACTGGTCTCTTCATCATTTTTCAAAATCACAGCTTCGCTTCATCTCTTCAGTTGCTTATGCTACAGAAATATATATTTGTTGAACTCTTGTGGGACTACTTGGATCTATTTTGACAATTTTCAGGACTTGAAAGGCTTAAGCTCTCATGTCTTCTTTTGGGTGGCTACCAAAAACTTCTTCAAGCTCCTTCTCTTCTGAAAAAGGTCTCATTCATTGTTGTTCAGCCTTAACTCTTTCTCTGCTTCTGTCTCGATCATTTCTTCCTTCTCCTTTTCTACACTTACAAAATCACTTCCTTTAGAACCATCTTTGACTCCAAGCTCTTTTGGCTCTATTCCTCCCTTTGTTTCCAGTTGCGTTGGTTTGTTCTTGTCTTCTTCCTTTTTCCTTGGTCCAGTGCCTTTCTCTTCTATTTTCACCCCTAGTTTCTTTGCTTCATTGTGCATCTGCTCTTCATTCTCTGTTCTTAACTCTTTCTTCACTCTTCCTTTTTCTTCCCAAACTTTTAAGGTGTTTGTCATGTTGTCTATGGTGTTTGTCATGCTATCTAGATGCCCACTACACTTCTCCAGCAACTCCATCATCAATATCTTATGTTCATCCAGAGCCATTGCCATCTCCTCCGAGGATTGTACTGCTCTAATACCAAATTATAGAACCCCAAGCAGAACAGAAGATATAAAACATTGATATTATATTAAATATCAAAAATACTTTTCTTGCCTATAGAAAGAAGGAGAGTTACAGTACAAGGAAATACACTCAAACAGAGGAAATAGTTTACTAGAAACTACACTCACTAACAAACTAACACATAAACAGTAAAATGATGAAATATAATCTTCCTCCACCCCCAACCTGGCTTTCGAGAGGCCAGACTCTCCTCATCATTCTCAATTTCATTATATGACTTCACTTCGACTAGGAGACTCCAACCACTAATATTAGCCAAAAAGTAACATTCACAGTCTCCAATACTACCCTCTCATAGCCCGGACCTATAGCAACCCTACAGCAACTCTAATTGCTTGTTTCTTTCTCCTTGACATTAGGAGTCTCAAGGTTAATGCCCTGACCATCAGAAAGTTGCTTTCCCTTTTCTTGAATCTTCCTAAGTTTCCTCTCATAGGCCTTTGCAGCAAAAGTGGTCCTATCAGAATCCAAGAAATGAAATAGAGAAGAAAGAAGCGAAAGTAAAACTGCAAATAGGTATAGCATTTTGACTATGTAGTTTCCACTTGAAGGCCTTGCAGAAGTATAGGAATCTTAGATTATTTGATTTTTTCTGTACTACACAGCAAGTTGTGGATATCTTGACTGAACCTCTTCTAACTACTAAGAATGAAGAGTCAAGATTTAAATTATAAATTTGGAATGATCAACATCTTTTCTCTAAGTTGAGGCGAATGCCTGTTGATATGAGAAATATTTTCAAAGCCAGACTGATATTTATGTTTATACAAATAATTATTTTTGGTTTCTTCGTCTTATCTTTCTATCCTTCTGAACATCTTTATAATTTTTTGTTAATTGCACATTTGTTGGAGATTAGTGCCTGATTTGTGATTGACTCCATCCTTATTATGCATTAGTATATGAACATGAAAGAACTTTGAAATTGTACGTTTATTTAACTTTCTGTCATATTTTCTACAGATAGGTTTCAACCCATTTACAGGCCCAGAGAATAAAGTAATTGCAATAAAATCTCTTTAAATATTTACAGCAGAATCCCTAATAATAAAACTATCAGTAATTACACACTCTACTTTAAAGACAGGGAATCAATGTCAGCCACATCTAGCTTGGATGAGTGAACGCCAAAGTCAATTATGGGAATAGTTTTGATCAACATATCAACTTTTTTTTTTTTTTGTGTGAATCAAGGCGTATAATTACCTCTATGATATCATTTTCTTTTCTTCTTTTATTTTCTTTCTTTGTTTTGTTTTGTTTGATAAAGTGTGGGTCAACTTCAACATGCTTGTTTCAAAAGATTATATATATTTTGATGCGTTCGTTTTTTCGTATATTTTTATGTTTTTAGAGAATTGCAATCATCTTTTGAATTCTTTTTTTCTTGTCATGTTTCCCAGGGAAATGGTTGCTTATATTTCTAATACATTAATTTTCATATTGAGGTGAGTGCTCAATTGGACTCTCAAATAATATTTAATCCACTGATTTGAGATGCAAAAGATGCTGTTCAGCTCATTTTTAAATTAATTGATCAAGTATTTTTGTTCAGGTTGGTTTAAAATTGTACATATAACTTAGTTATTTTTGTTTTTCTTCTTCCATTTTGCAGTGGAGTTATTATAGCTGAGGGCATCCTTAATGGTTCCAAAGTTGCTGCTGACGGTAGTTTTGACTTCCTAAACTCTATTTTGGCATTTGTAACATTTTTTAGTTCCCATCTTATCTTACTGTGGAAAGCATCATCAAATGCTAATAACAACTGGTAAAGTATTACGTTGTTTTATATGTCATGTTACAATAAAATGTTACACTTGAAATCTGTTTGTGTTTTATTTGGTGAGGATATGAGGTCCCTTGTGTTGTTTTTGTTCATCCCTTAAAAAGTAATCAGACTAATTTTTTTTTTTTTTGCCCAGAGAAAATAAGAAGCATTTAAAAATAAACTCGAATTATCTGCTGGCCATTCACTCATTATCCCTTTCACAAATTTAAAGTTGTGTTTATTTAGAAACTAGGGCTTAGTTCCAAGAAAGAGTAAGATAATGAGCACACACTGTACTTTTACATTTTGTCCTTGTTCTGCCATTATTTACACAGTTTTGGTTTGAGCATTACAGTCGAAGGTTGGATATCAACGTTCTATGCTGATAATTTAGGATTTCTTATGTTTTTTATATGTCCTGGTAGGATTAGGATTATGAACTTGTCTATATAAGGCATAGTCTTTAGGGATTTTATTCTTGCTTTCCAAATCTGCATATCTAGATATTCATATCTATACATAATATAAAATCTATTGGAAGCCCCGCTACTCATAACTTATGAATAGTGTGGCTCAGTGAATTTGCACAGAGGAATTTCAATGTACTATGCACTTTAGACAGGTTGAGATATATAGAGGAGGGTAGTGATGAAAGATTACAACAATCAGAGAGAAATAATGAGAGAATAATTCCTATGATGCTGCCCAAGATGCTATCCCTACAAATCTGGAGTATTTACATCTAATTATAACAAGTGATTCTATTCCTAAATGATGATAAATGCTTGGTCAAACTAGAAGATCACTCTACACTCTCTGCAAAGCACAATATGCTTGATTACTAATACAACTTGAGTGTATTAATGGAGGGGAATGGAAGAAAGGTTTATTGAAACCTTTCACTTGTTTTGGAATTACAAATAAGGTGTCAGAATATTTGGTATTTATTGCAAATATTGTATACTCTTTATTAGGCTTTATTAGACTTTATTAGTACTGATTTCCCCTTGTGTATATATTGTCAGTTTGTACTCAGTATTTAGATGAATGAGAATTATTATTTTCCCCCAAATTCCACATAAGGAGGGGCGGATACTGAAGTATTTCCCACAAACCTTCCAAAGTCTTAATTCTTTTAAATCTTTCAATCAATTTCCCATTTAACCACTCCTCTTCCTTCCTTCTCTTCTCTTCTCCTTTTTTTGGATCCCCTCTTTTCCCTTCTCCTCCCAACTGACACAAATACCCCACAAGTTTTTCTTGTTTACTTCTGGTTCTGCATTACATACTCTAACACCACAGAGATAATAATTGTCCAACTAAGATGCTTTGATGGTTAAGCTGATGAATTTATTGATGCTTTTGTTATTAGGGTCACTCACTTCCTGTCTAAGAAATCTCATCTGCTTCTTAAATTGTGAGGAATGAATACAAGCTAATGTATTTGTTGCAGGAAAATCATGGGCCTACCTCTTTCTTCTCTATGCCTATGTTCAAGCATCTAGATTCATAGTAGTTGGAGCACTTTATCCCTTCCTAAGTTATTTTGGACATGGTTTGGATTGGAAAGAGGCTGTATTTCTCATTTGGTCAGGATTGCGAGGGCCAGTTTCCTTGGCATTATCACTGTCAGTTAAGGCAAGTATACATGGTCTTAGGATATAACTTTGATTTGCATTATGGTGAAAAACGGTTGCTACGTAATTCTGTGAACGGATTTATGCATTTATTTTAGAATATTTTTTGGGAAAATTAATCATTTGGTCTCTTGTATTTGATTCAATTGTAACTTAATCTCTAAACTTTAATTCATGATAACTCAGTTCATGTAGTTTTGATTAAGTTATAACCTAGCCCCTGAACTTTAACTCAGTGCAACTCAGTCCTTATAATTTTATATTTAAAATATTAGTCCTTATATTTTAAAAAAAATTGTAAATTAAAATTATTTTAAAGCCTTTAATTGTTATAATCATTATAAAGATTAAAAGTTTAAATAATTTAAATTATTAGCCCCTAAATTTTAAAATAATTTTAATCTTTATAATTTTATTTTCTAAAATAATAGGGACCAAAATTGTAAATGTTAAAATTATAGGAATTGATTTACATTAAGTTAAAGTTCAAGGATTAAGTTATAACTGAATCAAAACTATAAAAATCAGGTTACAACGAGTTAAAATTCAGGGATCAAAGTAAAAATTTTAAGGATCAAATGTTTAATTTTTTCATATATGTTTTACTAGGGCTGCACAAACGGGACAGGACAAGATTTCTACCTTACTTGAAATTTGTTCTCTTTATTAGAAAGGATTAGGTTAGGCAACCTATAATTTGATCCTAGCCAAGCTTAATTTGAAATTAAACATGACTGAACTTGGTCCATAGAACTGAGAGACAGGTCTTGTAATCCAGTTCCTTACTTTGATTTTCCCCTTTTCCTTATATGAAAGGCAACAATTCATTTCAACTTGATAAACTCAATTAAAATAATAAAAATATGTATAATCATATAAAATTATCACAATATGATGTAACCCTGTTGATTACCAAACTAAATACAGAGAAAATAACAAATAGACGGCCAAAAATTCAAGCCAAACTTTGAGGTCTGTTATTAATATATATTCCAAAGGACTAAATCAATATTACAAGATATAACTAATGTTTAGAATCAAACCCTATTCCCCATACAATCGAAATACATAGAATAGCACCTAAGCAACAAGAACATGTAATGCTCTCTAAGCATGCCCTTTGGTTTTCGAGAGATAATCTCTCCTCATTGGTTTAGGCTCCTTGTTGATTTTCTCGCATCAATAGAAAAGTAAGGGATTGTTTGAAACTGTTTTTATTTTATTGTTCTGAGAACTGATGTTTTGTAAAATATGTTCTAAGAATAAAAAAATAATAAAAATAAGTATTTTCTTCATTCTTTCTTGTTCTTTAGAACAATAATTACAAACGCCTAAAAGTTATTTTCATTTTTCTATTCTCCAGAATAATATTTTGTTTTTTTATTGTCCAAAACACTTGTTAAAACATGTTATCAAACAAATTTTTTTATTCTCTTATTTTGAAGAACAGAAAATTGTTTTTAAAATAAGTTTTCAAACAGTCTCTAAGCTACTTTTATTTCTTCATCTACCTTCTCCCTATTTGAGTCCACCTTTGCTACTCTCCCAGAATGAAGTGGCATCCTTGCCGTCAATATGTTTGAAGAGGATGAGTTGAATTTTGCGTGGTGGGTTGGTCCAAGTTGATTAGGTTTCTTTCTTCAACTTTAAGGCCCAAGCCCATTAGCTGCAACTTAAATTTGAGATTGAAGGTTGTATGCAGCGGGGCCTTCCACCTTTCATAAATTAAAAGTCGATGTCCCGAAAGAGTTACCTTCATGTAGTATTAGGCTTCTTCAATAAGTAATTAACCTAACCCTATTCAGCCTCCACTTTCTCCTCTCATCTTGGCCATCAACGTCTTGCATCGCAGAGTTCTGTTTCTGTCCGTCTTCTCTCTTTTTACTTGTTCCAGCCTTACACAAGGGAATGAATGAAATAAACTCCTTGCTGGATGCCACAGCCACAAACAAAACCTCCTCTATTCTCAATGGGTGGGATCCCTGCGGCGGAGAAGACAATTCTGGCCTATTTGACACTGCTAGCTGAAGTGGAACCTCCTCCTTTTGTTTTCTTCTCATTGCTTTAGTGTCGATATGATAGGGAAATTTTTTGGGAATGTTCAGCATTGTTGCAAGATCTTTCTCTTTCTCTTGAACATCATTCCGAGATTTTTGCATCTCTCTTACTGTTTGTCAGACATTTATGGAAATGTTTGGCACTGTTTTGACAGCTTCTTGGACTTGAAAATCTTCATTTTTTATTTCTTCTTTTGAGCTGTCAACAAAATCTTCTTCAAGCTTTTCCTCTCGTGAAAAAGGTGACAACTTTAAGTGGGGTTCCGGCTTTTCTCTATTTCCTCCTCACTTTTTATATCAACTATTAAATTTTTTTTTAATGATTCATATTTAATTTAATATTTTATAAAATTATTATTAAAATATAAAATTTTATAAAAAATAATATAATAATAATTTTATAAAATATTAAATTTGAATAATTAAAAAATAAATTTAATGGTTGATATAAAAAGTGAAAAAAAAAAATGAGGAGGAAAATAAATGAAGAGAAGCCAACTCTGCAGTGTGGGAGGTTCTTTTTCTCTCCCTTGGTCTTCAACGTCCTGGAATTTGGAATTTCTTCCTCTATTTCTTGCTCAATTGGTTTCTTCCCAATTTCTTTCTCACTTAGCATCTTCCTTTTCCATCTTCACCTCTGATTTCTTCTCTGTTTCAGCGCACATCTCCATTGTCTAAAAGTCTTGTGCACTTCTCCAATTTCTTCCATTCTTTCCGCCACGCTAGACAACATTTTGACATCTTGGTTGCTGTTGCCATTTCTTCATATAAGTTCGTCATACTCCTAAAGATCAACTGCTCTAATACCAAATGACGTGACCCTGCTGATTACCAAACTAAATACAGAGAAAATAACAAATAGGCGGCCAGAAATTCAAGCGAAATTTTGAGGTCTTATATATTCTAAAGGACTAAACCAGTGTTAGAAGATACAACCAGTGGTCAGAATCAAACCCTATTCCCTACGCAACCAAAACACACAGAACAGCAACTAAGCATCAAGAACCAGCAATGCTCTCTAGCATGCCTTCTGGTTTTCAAAAGCCAGTCCTCTCACCCAAAATACAAATTATGACTTGGTTTTTGTTAGGAGACTCCAACCACTAATATAAACTAAAAGGTAACATTCACAGTCTCCAATACTTCCCTCTCCATAGCCCAGACCTACAGCAACCCTACAGCAACTCTAATAGCTTGTTTCTTTCTCCTTAATGTTAGGATGCTCAAGGTCAATGCCCTGACCATCTGAACCTTGCTTTCCCTTTTTTGAATCTTCCTAAGTTTCCTCTCACAGGCCTTTGCAGCAAAAGTTGTTCTATCACAATATTAAAAGTAATCATAATAAATTCATAACAATCTCCGACAACACCAAAAAGTATTTCAGTTATAATCCATAATAGCATTCAACAAACTTCAATGTGTATAAACTACATTATAACAAGTTAACAACAAACTTCAACCAGTTTTTATGCAACCATCTCCCCCATCATCAATTACACTTGATATATCTATAAAAAATAAATTATATACACATATATAAAGTGATTAGTAACAATGCAACATATAAATTTAAATTGAGAGACGTAAAATTGAAAACATCATCAGTCTCTTAAAAGTTGTCAAATTCATGAAGTATAAAGGCAAATTTTGAGAGAGATTGCCCTGCAACTAGCCAATTTTGTGCAAAAATGAGAGCTTCAATCATCTGAAGAGTAAAAACCTGAAAAATGAAAAGGATGAGAAAACAGTGCATTCTGGCCTTAAAGTTCAAACTATATTAAAAAAATTATAATTAAAATTATATTAAAATAATTTTATAGGACCGGACTAGATCAAGTGATCTGACACCTTGGTCACTTGTCCAATCCAACATGAAGATAAAGTCTGGTCTTTTGGTCTTTTTAGTTCTTTGGGTCCATTTTTTTTTTCTTTTTTATAGGACTAGATTGAACCGGATTTGTTCGGGTTGGATAGAACTAGAAGACTTTTGCACAACCTTATTTTTACCTTCCCTTGAGATATGCCCAAACTACATGGCTTTCTCATCTAATATAAAAAGATATAGAAAGTTTTGTTGAAGGAAAAAAATGACCTAAATACCCTCAATGATGAAATTGATTTCTTTTTGTTGAAAAAAAATGAAGGGAGAAGAGTGATGGATTGTATTCTTTTCTTGTTATTCAAATGCGAATGGAACAAGTTTATGAAATAGGGTTTTGGTAGCAACAGATCAGCTACTCGAAACTGATCAAGGATAAGATTACAGTCAATCTTAAAGGGGTGCAATAAGATTTGAAATATTCTGCCTATGGATAAAGGAAAGTGTCCGTGGGAGAGTAAATGTGATTGAAAGGAAATCTGAAGTAATTATTGGTGTGGCATATTTGGAAGGTCATCGGTTCCTATTCAAAGGAGATCTGGAGTAATTAGAGAAAGGAATTCTGGGTATAATGAGGAAGGGAAGAGAGGAAGTGTAGCATTTGCTCTTTCACATACTTCCTTGGGATGTATATATATATTCAACATTGTCAGCTTGGACTTGAACTCTTGAAATTTAACCTTGGGAATGGCTTTGGTCAACGCATTAGCAACTTGAATGATTGGCAAACTATGTGGTGGATCTTAGTGTTTGGGTCAAATGAGACTCAAAAACAGAGGATGAAGTCCAATGATGAAGAAAGCTTGTGGATCAAGGATATACTTGAAATGGAAGCTTGTGGATTGTACTTGATATTGTAGCAATGAAGGCTGCTAAAGATGTAAGGGGTAGTGACATTGAAATTGCACTGGTCAGTGGAAATGACTGGTTTGAAGAGAAGTAGGAGTGGCCAGAGGATGTTGGCAAACTTCTAGCCTTGAGAACTCTCATTCTTCTCTAACTAGGATTTGAAATGAGGGAATAATGAAATAACCCAAATAGAAATAACAATTCAACAAGAAGAAGAAGCCTTATTCCACAATGTGGGGAGAAATAACAACTATTACATTATTTACAACTCTTATAATTCTAAGAATAATTGTTAGCAATGGTCTTAATGTGTATCTTGTAAGCATGTGTGTATAATAGAAGTTTCATGAGTCTCTTATGTCCTTATTTTTAATATTCTTTCTATCGTATCCTCTCTTGCATCTATAAATATTAAATAGTAATACCATGTACTATGCCTCATTTCAACAAACAATAATTCAAGACTTCTTGTTGCAACAATCAGCTATGATGTGATTATAATAACCAATAACGTGTGGTAATAATCATAGCCGATCTCTTGCTTTTGTAATTTAATTCTTATGATGTAATTTTTTGTTTCTTTCAGAGTTCCGGTGGCAAATCAAATGAATTGAATTCAGATACAGGAACGCAGGTATATTTACAATTTAAATATTGAGCATGATTAGTTTAGAAAGTTGAGGAACACTTCTGAAATATTTAATGCATGAATATCATCTAAATAATTGTGTCTTTTTTGAAAATAGAACTCCTTGACATTACAGTTTTTTTTTTAACTTCACTGCAATATTTTTTATGTTTACAGTTTGTTTTCTTCACTGGTGGAATCGTGTTTTTGACCATCATTGTGAATGCTTCGACTACACAGCTCATTTTACACCTCCTAGATATGGATAACTTCTCTTCAGCTAAGGTCAATTTTTTTCTGATCTTCTGGATACTAATTTTCTCCTTGTTTTAAAAGATGAAATAGTTTGTATAATAATTTCTGAAATCTTATCTAGCAGTTATCTTTGGTCTCGGCCCTTATGTTCTTACCATGTAATGACAGAAATGGATCCTTGAGTATTCAAAGTATGAATTGTTGAACAAAGCATTAGAGACTTTTGGTGAGCTAGGAGATGATGAGGAACTGGGACCTGCTGATTGGCATACAGTGAAGAGATATTTAACATGCTTAAATAGCATTGAAGGTCAATGCATTCAACATCATGGTGCACCTGAAAGCGACAGTACTCTGGATCCTATGAAGTTGAAAGACGTAAGAATATGCCTTTTGAATGGTATGGAATTCGGGGGTTGTCTATGAATCCCAATATTTGTTTCATTTTCTAATTTCTCAATTGTACGCTCATACCAGTTGGTGTCTATCACAGCAGCAGAGAAAAAAAGTCTTTCTATTCCCTTTATTTATGCATGAGATATTCATTTCATTTTGAATTTTTTATTTGAGTGAAGCTTTATTCCATTAGTTATCCACTTCATATTCAATATTGCCAATTCAGTGGATAACAGCTCAAGTTCAAACTCTTCTTCTTAAGTACTGTTATTTCATTCATAATCTACTTGGTTTTAACCTTTTTACTCACATATTTGAAGTCAAAAGCATTTTTAATTATACATATATGAAGAAGTAATTAAATAATACGACGAAGCACTAATATCTATGAGGATTTATAAATTCATCGTTTTGAGAGAATAATTGTTAAAAAGTGATGTAATTCTTACTGGGAATCTTAAATAAAATATTGGTCTTACTTTCAACAAATATTCTCTGCATAATTTTCTGTTGCACTAAAAGTTTTCATTTACTTATATTTTGTTCATTTCTTTGGTTCCTTCCCCCCCCCCCCCCGGGGCACAAATGTAGTTTCAGGATCTGTCTCTGTTTAACTTCAGTTTTAGTTGGTGGATTGTTCAATACTACATGAAGAGCAGTGATGTCTATTATAGATGAATATGATTGGAATATGTTGTTTATTCGTTCTAAAATGGGGGATATACACACACACACACACACAAAAGAGAGAGGAGCTTTGGCTTTAATGGCTCATAATGACAAAATAATACCCTGTCCCTACAATAAAGGTATAATATCCAAACAATGAAATAAATCTTTTATGATCCTAACACTTCCCCTCAAGTTGGAGCATAGATGTTGATCATGCCTAAATTTTTACAAATGTATTGAACCCAAGCCCCATTCATAGCTTTTGTAAAAATATCACCCAATTGTTCTCCAGTCCTAACATGTCCTTTGGGATGAAATTTTCTTGAATCTTATTACAAACAGTGACAACCAATATCGATGTGCTCTTGTTGGAGAAGTTCTTGGATCAGATGCACTTTTATCACTCTCCTGTCCTATAAACTGAATCTCTTCAACTAATTGACATTTGATATCATGACTTATATCAGAGCTTGTCTTATGTAAGGTGTTCAAACTGCATATTGGGAGATGCTTGATGAGAGAAGAATTTCACAAACAACGGCTGACATCTTAATGAGATCAGTGGAGGAAGCTAGAGATTTGGCTTCACTTGAGCCTTTGTGTGACTGGAGAGGTCTAAGAGATAGACTTCACTTCCCAAGTTATTACAATTTCCTTCAGACTGGAGTTTTACCACAGAAATTAGTTACATATTTTGTTGTGGAAAGATTGGAATCTTCATGTTGTGTTTGTGCTGCATTCCTTCGTGCCCATAGAATTGCTCGACAACAGTTGCATGGCTTGATAGGTAATATTCTACCTTGGTAGTCTGGCCTATTTACTTTGCTCATGCTATTTCCATTTCTTGCGTAAAGTGAGGTGCCTGTGGGGTTGTACGATATGAATGACCACTGTATCCATTTCTCTTCTATTTACAGTTAGATAGGATGAGAATTTTTGTTTCTCCTTTCTATTATTTGGTTTATTCCTTTATTTGTTTTTGGGATCTGATTGGTTGAGACAACGCCAATCCTTTCCTATATATGTACTGCTATACATAGAAATAAAATATAAAATAACATCCCTGAGCCTTTATATATTTGTCACAGACTTTGATTTCTACATGGTGTTAGAGTTTTGGTACCTTAACCATCCCTGAGCCTGATGCCTCCTTTGACTCTTAAGAGCCCCTTATACCAACCTCTAAAATCTAATGATGTCAAGACGTGTTTGAGAAACTCAAAAGGTAGATTAATTTTGTTGTAAGCAAGATGTAAAAGAGTTTATTTCATCAATAGACACATTATATATCCAGTCGTCCCTTATTTATACTGTTAGGAGAGTCGCTTACTAACTACCCTTAACGACTTCCCAGCTAATACTGAGTCCCACGTAACAAATTTTCTTACCATCCTCTAAAATCTCTAGCATCTGCTGTTATACCTTTCTTGTTAAGGCAAAGTTTGCAGTTGACTTCCATTGGGGTCTCCACTGGTTTGCACCCTACATCCCCTTTTCTTTGAGCAAAATTTAAGCATACTTTCTTTGAGATACCGGAATCGCTCTTTTTGGTTTCTGCTTACTCCATACCTGAGAAATATCTCAAGCACCCCAAATCTTTCACTTTGAATTCAGTAGAAATGAGGTCTTTAGACCAATGATCTCTTTTTCATGAGAACAATGTCATCGACATATACTGTTAAGATTGGAATTATCTCATCAGATGCATGCTTAAAGAATAATGTATGACCGATGCATTGAGCATAACCAAGTATCTTTGACTATCATGACCAAGGCCTCTAACTAGATCAGCGAACATATCAAACTATGCCCTTGGTAATTGCTTCTTAACGTTGATGGCCATAGCTTGGCCAAATATGTTAATCAGAGGATACAACCCTTGAGCACTTCTATCATGTAGAAATTTAGGGTTTATTTTCTCTTAACTTTATTGAGTGAAATTAATTAATGATAAGGCTAAAAACATTTGAAAATACTTAAAATATTCTTATTCCAATAATGATAAGGCTTAAATTATATCCAACAATAAAACATTTGAAAACTCTTACTTTCCTGTCTTAAACAAAATACTTAAAATATTCTTATTCCAATAAAAACATATTACAATTTAAAATACAATTATCCAAAAATAAGATAGCGAGAAACCTTGCAAGATAATGTCTTCTAGAACAAACGAACAAGAACAATCTAACAACAACAAATGTTCAATCACCCTTCACAGTTGGCAACAATCCAAGGCCTTGTGGTATTTCTTTTGGCAGTTAATGCTGTATATATAATTGGAATGAGCTATGTTTATTTCCTCTTCATCAATGTGTTCAGGTGACAGCAATGTTTCATCTATCATCATCAATGAAAGTGTTGTAGAAGGAGAAGAAGCAAGAAAGTTTCTTGATGATGTTCATAAGACATTTCCTCAGGTTTGAAGTTAAACTCTTCTATCAATGTGTCTTATTAGTGGTTTGCTGGTATCTTTGGATTCTGCTTGCCAAATTGATTGATCTATGCTCCATATAACAGTCAAAGTTTGTGAACCATAAGAATAGTTTGAAGCATTACATAGAGAAGCTTGCTTCCCTCATGTGCATTATTTATTTGATATGTCTACTTTTCAGGTTCTGCGTCTTGTGAAAACAAGGCAAGCTGCATATCTAGTGTTAAACCATTTAATTGAATATGTTCAAAACCTTGAAAAGTCTGGGTTACTGGTGGAGAGAATGATGCTGCATCTTCATGAGGTTGTCCAGGTATCATGTGTTGTCAGTATTTTTTGTTCATCTGCGATCTCAAGTTGTGCACTCTCCCGTGGGAAATTGAAAAATTACATAATGGTTTCATTTGTTTCAGACTGATTTGAAGAAATTAGTTAGAACTCCTTTACTGTTGAAGTTTCCTGAAAAGAATAGTATACATCCTATGTTGGGTTCCCTGCCATCTTCTGTCCATGAACCCCTTTCAAGCAATAGCAGGGAAATGATGAAATTGCGTGGTCTGACAGTTTACAAAAAAGGGTCCAAAGCAGATGGTATTTGGTTAATGTCTAGTGGGGTTGTGAAGGTGAGACAATGACTTCTTACTACTCAGCTCTAAATTTTTATGATATGATTTTTCATGCAAATGAAGCATATTCAAATATTGCTGTTTTGGCAGTCGGAAAGCAATATAATAAGAAACAAGAACTCCTTTTGTCCAACTTTTACTCATGGGAGTACATTGGGTCTATACGAAGTACTTACTGGAAGGCCATATATCTGTGATGTTATAACAGATTCAGTAGTGCTCTGTTTTTTCCTTGAAGATGACAAGATATTATCATGTCTTAAATCAGATTCTTCTGTTGAATACTTCCTATGGCAGGTACGGGTAATAATATTATTTCTACATCCGCTGTAGCATGAATGGTTTTGCCTTCTTATTGATTTTGAAAGCATAGAATACATGGTTTGCGGCATTTATTTTGGGCCTCGAAAGTGGCTGTTTATTTTCCTTTTTTAAACTTGCATCTTTTACAACATGCTTTCTCTTGATGGGTGTCATAACCGACTAAAAGATGCTTCTTAATAGATGCTTGGTACCACGGAATGCATAGAAATGTTATGTAATATGATTAGATGACTACAATCATTATGATTAGCTGCTACACTATTTTGTTTTGCAGGAGAGTGCTATTTTCCTTTGCAAGATCTTGCTTCCGCAGATATTTGAAAAAATGGCAATGCAAAATGTAAGAGCCCTTGTTGTGGAAAGATCTGTAATGACCGTACACATTAGGGGAGAATCAATAGAAATACCTCATCATTCGGTTGGCATTTTACTTGAAGGATATGTTAAAATGGAAGGTCTTCAAGAACTGATAACATCACCAGCTGCTCTTTTGCCTTCACATGGGAATCTAAGTTTCCAAAATCTGGAAGCTTCTGGTAAGTGAAGTTAATTTATACTTTCTCGAATATGTCTTCCAGCATAATAATGTTATCCTTTTCTTTTCTTTTTTCCTCCTTTCAAAAAACTAATTAGGGGGCATATCTTGCCTGCAAATCTGCATCACTGATGCTTATCATAGCTCTTTTTAGATTGAGAGCATTAAAATAAGAGGCTTAGGGCAAGTTGATTTCTTTTTTTTTTTAAGTAAAATGCTCCAACTTCTCCTCAATTTTTATTTTTACCTTAATTATTGATACCTCTCTTATATTTTTGAAATATATATGAACCTAGTATAAATAGTGACAAAACACAAATATCTCCTCTATTTTTAAGATTTTATTTCCATCTACCCAAATGTTAGTTGATTGTTAAGTTACATATATTGAACCAAAATACCCCTTTAAATATAAATATAAATATAAATATTATCTATTCCCTCTGTTAAAAAATGTAAGGTATTTTTTGAGGAGTTGGATGTTCAGAAATGTAAGGTTTTTTTAGTCTTTCGAGGTGTAATCATCATCTTTTTTTCAAAAGTACCCCTATTGATAATGACTTTATATTTATTGTAGGGTATTTCATAAGGGTAAATATGGAAAGATAGAGTCAGTTTGAAAGTAGGTAACTACTTTATTGAAGGGGGTAAAAATCCTTCAAATTACCAAAAACAATTAATCATATATATATATATTACTTTTTTATTTATATTTTAAATTTTTTATCTATACAAACATATTTATTTAGTAAAATTTAAATAAATAAATTGACCAAAATAATATTTCTAAAATAGTGCTTAATTTGAGTTAAGGATTCTAGCTGAAGGTATAATGGAAGAGATATAGTTAAAAAAGGTACTAGAAGTAATTCATGTGAGGTTAACCTACCATTGAACTTGTATTGTGACAATAAGGCTGCCTTAAGTATGGCTCTAAATCCGGTACAGCATAAGAGGTCAAAACGTGTAGAGATTGACAGACATTTTATCAGGGAGAAGGTAGAAGATAGGATCATTTGTCTGACTTTCCTACCAACAAACCTTCAAGTAGCAGATATGTTGACCAAGGGGTTACATAAACCACGTTTGAGAAGTGTATGAACAAGTTGGACATGATTAATATCTATGATCCAACTTAAATGAGAGTGTGAAATAGGATAAATTAGAAATTAATTATTATTTATTACTCTTGATTTATAGGGATGTGATTAGCTAAGAATATGGGGGGTAAATATGGAATTTGATCTGATTTATTTTTTTCCCTTTATAGCTGGTACACGTACATTGTATATATTACACATATTGGAATGAAATACTCAATTATTCTAATCCAAAAACCTATAATATATATATATATATATTCAAACTCCACTTCACATGATTTTCGAAATCACCAAAACATTTAACATACTAGGTTATTGATTAAAAACAATAGCATATATATATATATAAAATATAATTTCACAATCCCACAATCATCCGAACACACAAATAAAAGAATTAGATTGTCCGGTTACCTCAACCCTTTTATGACAAAAAGGGTTACTGTGGCAAATTAGCTACTCCACAAGAGTCCACCGGCTTAACAAAACTCGATCATATTTAATCTACAAGATTAAACACTAATAATCAATTTTTAACCCTAATTAACCACATTTTAGGCTAAATTTAGGTACCCGTCCTACCCAAATTTCCTCCCAATCAACATCAACATTTACAACACATTTCCTAAATCTTATTTACCATTCATGCACTTAGATAATATCAAACTTCCACCCGCATTACTCCCAATCTTCATACTTTCTTTTAGGATTCGTCCAAACCCTAATTAAAAACCCCATATCACTATAAAATCCTTAAACCAAAGTTTAGAAACTTAATTTAACTTCTCAAGGCTCCATCTAAGCCAACGGGTTCGATTACAACCCAAAAAAAAATGAAATCAACACCCAACACTTTCCAATCTTGCTGAAAATGCACATAGAGAGGAAGGAGAGTAGATAAGAGGCTTACCCAAGTGTGTGGCTAGCTCAAATTGTATTTAAAATGCCCACAAAGTGAAGCCCTAGCAAACCTCAGCTCCTCCTCCTTCGCCCTTTGCGTTCTCTCTTCTTCTCCCTCTAATTTTCTCGTGTGTGTGCAATTTGATTAAATCATATTTTTGCACATCTGCCACAGCACAATGTGCATTTGCTACAGCAGATGGCACAGTGAAGCTCATAATGAGTTTTGGGCCTCACATGATGCCCGATCCGCTCGTACACCAATCTAACCCCTTCTGAAGCTACCCAAAGATTCAAGAAGCTCATTAATATCATGAAAACGCCATTAACTAGATTTTCTTTTAATTTTACCCATTTACCCTATTTACACTTTGAATTCCAAGTTCATAAACTTGAGGATGTTACAGTTAATTGTTGGATTAAAGTGTTTTGAAAATAGAGGAGAAATCTCTGTAATTTAAGCAAAACGGAAGGGAGGTCATTGTATTTTACTCTTTTTTTTTTTAATCAATCAATAAATCATTTCTTCTGTGCTTATTGCATATTTTGTTTCTCTATTTTAACTAGAAACCAAGCAAGCAAAGAAAACCTAATATGTACCTTATATCATGTACTTGTATCTATGTCAAAATAAAATTTTGGTTGGAGTTCCTTTCTTGGAAAATCTACACATTTGATACATTAATCCTTGCTAGCTGTCCCTAAGATATTTCTTTTCTAGTTTGAGTTCCCTTTTGGGAAACTGCAAGTTTTATTACTAACTTATGTGACTTGGATTTCTTTCTTCTTTTTTTTGGCCTTTCAATAATAACAGGTATAGAACATGCTAGTTTTTCTCATCAAGATTCATCTTATCTAGTTGAAAATAGAGCAAGGGTAATCGTGTTTGACATTGGAGCATTTGAGGCTGATGCTGCTCTTTCTAGAAGGTCAAGTTCACTGTTAACGCGCACAGTTGATTATCCCCATAGATGTTTAAGCAAAGAACATAGTGGTCTATCGAGTTTACTTGAAAATTTCATCAAGCCAAAGCATCATAAGCAATATTGCCAAGGTGTTGGACAACAAGCCAGTAGTCTGTCTGCAAGGGCAATGCAGTTGAGCATTTATGGCTGCACGGTATGTTGGTACATGAACATGAGATTGATATTAGCTTCATGGATGGGAAACTTTTTGTGCATAATATTCTCAAGGGCAATGCAGTTTAGCATTTAATTAGTAGGGTTTTAATGGATATCCTATCTTGTCTTTGCATATCACTTGTTTTTTCTTGTCCGTTTCTTTTTAAATTGAACCTTTTTATATCACATTCGTTCATAGAAAATTTAGTTATTAGGTTTATTTGATTCTCCTTGCAAAAATATTTAGATTTGGTCTGATACTTGATCTTAAACAAGCTTAAGTGAAATAAACAAGTGTTTCTAATATGTTCAAATTTTCTGTTGAATGGAGATCACTCACAGCACACAAGTCACAATGATCTTTAGCTTCTCAGACTGTAAAATCTACACCATACTTTCCAAGATTATCATGAAAATCAATGAGCAATTAGAAGTATTTTAGCGTTAAAAGTTTCAGAAATTCGTGGTCTCTGTCTCAAGCTTATTTTCTTTAATTTCCCATGTGAATTTTCAGGTTGACATCTGTCAGCCAAGAAGTTTCTCAAGCAATCTCACAGGAACCCCTTATAGGAAGGACCTTGAAGTGAACCAGTGTGAAGGGAATGTTGCAAATCCCTCTGTACAAAACAGAGAGCAAAGAAGTTACACGGATGATACAATTGCTGAATCTACTGGTGAAGAAGATATCATAGTAAGGATTGATTAACCAAGAAGGCAGTCTTTCTGCGAGTCATAAATTTTATTATATATAAAATTCATCAATTTGATTATGATCAATGAATTATGGATCATTACTTTTATTCGACTAATAACTTGTTTATTTTTACAAACATTAACCACTCACAAACAAGTTAGATGTTACAGAAAGGAAACAGCATGCAAGATTTTTGTGAAGAACCCTGCTGGACCTTTGCTTCATGCTCCTTAATGCATCCCTCTTTTGTATGTCATATATTTATTTCTTAATGCAAAGGATCTGAATTGGATAAGAAACTCCAAGTGAACTCTGTATAAAATCTTGTCCATTTGAAAAATCACAATTATATGGTTAAACAAATAACAATGAAGTGTCTTTAAATCACACAATCTCAAATGAGACCACACACCAAGAGGTTGGGATCATCATTTGAACACCAAGAGATTTCCCTTTTCATCTCTTCTACCCATTTTCCCTTAATCATTTCAATCAATAATACCCCTAGGCCTTTTTGATTTGTGATTTCTCATTACATCCATCTTGTTATTGAAGAAAACTAGCTTCATATGCTACTCGTATGCCAAACTAGAATCGAAACCAAGAAAGGAGATGTTATTCACAGTAGAAGGCCTGAACTCCAGAGGATTATTCCAGTCCTCCAAATGAGCTTGTGACCATCTCATTTTCACATTTTTAACCTCAAGACCTTCAATGTTCTCCATCATTATGCCAGCAGTTTTGTGCTTAACCAATTCATGGCATCCAGGCCTGTAGTCATACAAGTCACCAGGAAACTTGGTAATCCTTCTGTAAGTGAGATTCAAGTTGATGAATCTCAAGTTTCTTAAAAGCCCTCTTTTTGAACCAGAGAGGAAGACACCATTTTCTGAATTTACTGTGATGTTAGTGAAAAGTATGTTTGAGATTGAACCCTCCTTTGAGGTTGAGTCTCGCGGGCAAGTTGTGACATATATTGGTTCAGCTCTTCCCCACCATAATGGGTCGTAGTATCTTGTGCTGATTTTTATGTTTGAGAATACAATGTCACTTACATTCCCTGCAAAACAATGTTCAAATTTCAAAACATAGTACCAATCTAACTTATCAGGATAGCCTCAAAAAAAGTGCACGGAACAAATAGAGAACATTATATAAACAGCTAGCTGTCTCAGTGCCATCTCCCTTGCTTAGAAAAGATCGCGGGTTCAAATCTAGAGTTGACATATTTGCGTGCGTGCATGAGTGTGTAAGTCTTCCTTTTTTCATGGAGAAGGACATGGTTAAAAGTAAAATAAAAAGAAAAGAAACAAACGGAGAAGTTACCTCCATCACGGATCTGAAACCCCAAGCCTCTATGAGAATCGACAATGGTGATATTATCGAAGACAAAGTGTTTGAAATCGAACACGCTGGCACTGCCAAGCTTGATGGCGCAGGATTTTGTTCGAATCCAACAGTTAGTGGCAGTAAGGTTGAAGACAGAACCTGCGGATGACTTTGGGCAAACAGCATCGTCCCCAGTGTCAATGTGACATCTATTGATCACTGTGTTGTTTGAATCCTCAATGTCAATCCCATCATTGTTTGGGATATTGAAGTCTCCGTAAATCGAAACATCCTCAATTGTTATCTTGTTGCTTCGTACTAAGTGCAAACTGAAAATTCTAAACAGTAATTTTTACTAACTGTACTTTGAAATTTAAAATTAAGGCATCTTTTTTCTTATCTAAGAAAATTTAAGTGAGTTAAGTTTCAAAACTCATAAGAGACCAAATGTAAAGAGCACTTACATGAATATTTACATATTACTTATCAACAAAGTTTCACATCAAGAGAAGAATTTAGACCCATGACTTCATGAATAGATCCTTATTAACAGGACTAATCTTCATCAGTTATTGGCAGTGTTCTTTATCATATCATACTGTAGTTAATGTAAAAAATGCAAACGTTGGAGATTTATCTAAATTTTATTGTAATTGTTATGCAAATCAAATTTTCGCTAAGCTTGGCCAAAAATCAACAAAAGATTGACTTTTTCCAAACACGTAAATCATCTATATTGGATATGGAATAAAATCTTTTAAATGAAAACAGAATGCAGTATTTTAAATTTGAGTATAAACATCCAAAAAAAAAAAGTAACTTTAAGAAATAATGATTGATACTTCAAAAAACTTCCAAATTTAAACTAATCAAATAAAATATAAACACTTTAAATCTCTTTACTACATAGAATATGATCGATTTATAATGTCAAACTCACAAGAAGATTGTGAATAAGACGTGTTTGAATGATTTTTTTTTCCTAAATGATGAACTCACGCTAGATTTTTTTTTTTTCCAAACCCAAATAAAATTAAAATAAATAAATTGGATAAAAGGCAAAAATAATGTTCTGAACTTGGAAGACTGACTTAGTGACTTCAATTTTGCGTGCAGGTAACTCAAATCAGAAATCACGACGAAATTGTTTTATACAATTCGTTTAATTTGCTATATATAAACATAAATGTCCCCACTAAACTGAGATCATCTAATCTATTATCTGTGAGCTTCAAATAACTTTTTTTTTTAAGAAAAAGATCAACTTATATTATCAGAAGAAAAAGGATAGACAAAGTCAAAAGGTCAAAATAATAATAGCATAGCTACAAGAGAAAGATCGGGAAATATTGTAGCGTGTGTAACTGTGATTGTTTTCACAAGAACACAACAACTAAAATGCTTTGAAATTCATGCAAAGTCTCTCCATACTCATACATAATTCATCCATTATTTCATTAATAAAATATAAGAAAAATTTTTAAGTAGACTTAGCACATCACGTCATCCAATTTCTCTAAAACATAATATAATGAGTTTATTTTTACAGAATTTAAGATTTATGAAAGAAATCTATCCATATCGATATCTGATATCCCTAAGTCTAAAGAAATTACTTTCACATAAGAAATAAAAGTTTAAGTAAAAAACGAACTAATTAAAGAAAAAAAATCTGCATAAATTTAAAATTTTAAAAAATAAAAAACTAATTATTTAGCTTGGTTCACGGTGATTTTAACTTAATTACAACCCATTCTTTAAAATTTAACACATGATTCCAACTGTTTCAGTGGATTAATCTGTTGGTCCCTACACATTAAGGACTACTTTGCAATCTAGTCATAAGGTATAGGCCAAAGGGAGTGATAGATTAAATAGCTAAAACACGAGGGATTAACTTGTACCATGTCAAACTTTATAATTGAGTTGTGGACAAGTCAAATCTATATATCCATAACTCAATTATAAGTGTTTTAAAAAAGGATAATAAAATTTTTAGTTTCTTAAATTTGTTTTAATTAGTAATTTTTCTTTTTAAGTTTATTTTTTATCAATTTACTTCCTTATATTTTCTTAAATTAATTTACTTCCTTATATTTTCTTAAATTATCATATAAGTTCTTTAAATTTTAAAAAATAAATTGATTTTCAAAATATTTTGTGTAAAGTATATTAATGACTTATATATGCAGTTAAATTTAAATGAGAATAAATTAACTCTCAAATTAGTTTAATGTTTTTCAATCTAATCTTTTACACTATATTTTGTTATCTTTTTTTTTAAATTATAATTATTTTTTTACTTAAATAATTATACTTCTTTTTATTGATTTATCTAGTTGTAAAAAATATTCTGTAATCTATAGTATAATTTCCTCTCTTTTTTTGGGACAAAAAGTGTAATTTTATTTTTAAACAATAAGGACAGTAACAAAAAAAAAAGGACTGAATCGGTAACCAAAATAAATTTAAAAGACTAAATTAATAAAAAATAAAATTAAGGAATTAAATCAATAAAAACTTGAGAGATTAAAAGTTATATTATCTCATAACAAATATTTGAAGTTTTAAAATTCCAACAAGTTTTTAATTGTTTACATGCATGACGCATTAGACGCAATCATGTTTAGTGTTTAGTTGCACGGTGAGACATTAAATATAAACATTATTCCAACAATATCACTAAGCAAAAACAGGAAAAAAAAAAAAAACACTGACCACCAGTAAGCAGGCTCGTGGAGGGTGATATTGGAGACACGGACATTGGTGCAGCCTAAGAACCCAATAAGCCTGGGCCTGCATTCATCCCCTAAGCAGTCCCCCGTCCTATTCCAACTCACCATCACGTTCTTCCTCACGTTCTTCCTCACCACGTACTTCATCGCCTGCCCGTCCACCACTCCCCCGCCGCCGATCCCCACCCCTGCCGCGTTCTCCGCCATCACCGCGTACCATCGCGACGGATCCCTAGGATAGTCCCTCTGCCTCGTTCCCGCCAGGATCCTCGCTCCGCCCTCCACGTTCAGCACCACTCCCGATTTCAGATACACCGTCGCCGTCAGGTACTCCCCCGGCGCCGGGAACTTCACCTGGCAGGGGCCGCCCTCCGGACAGGAGTCGATCGCCGATTGGATGGCTCGCGTGTCGTAGTGGCGCCCGTTTCCGACGGCTCCGAAGTCCGTGACGGAAACCGTGATGGGGATTGGGTTCGGGACGAGTGACGTGGCGAGATGTGATTGGAGGATGAAGTAAAAGGAGATGATTGGAAGGAAGAAGAGGTAAGGCATGGCCATTTCCGGCTTTGTACTCGTCGTCGCTCTAGATTCTTGCTGCTTTGATTGGTATACGTATCTATATACTATATCCCTCACGCTCATGCGTATTTCAAAATGATCACGCCATCTTCTGATCCGCCGATCTTCATTGGATGGAATGATTAAAATATTGCCGTAATTCCGTAGTTGTTGGGATAATCATAATAATACACGCGACGCCATTAGGTCAACAAGTTGTGATTTTGATCTCCCGCGCTGAGGCATTCACTTATCCGCTCAAACTTGTAGTAATAAGCCATAGACTTTAATGTTATCACTTATTGTAGGATCCAATTTTATGAATCACTTCTGTCTACACCACCCAAAATTAGAAAAAATAATTAAATTACTGATTTTTCTAAATTTTTTTTAATTCTTCCTTGTTAAATGTATCATATTTTTTCAGTCGAACAAGTCAGTTTTATTAATAATAAAAAAAAAGTACAAACACAAATGCACAGGACCATTTTTTTAACCATTTTCTCTTTAATATAACTTTTTATTCATCAAAAATTGTAAAAGAATAAAATTGAAAAAATAATTAATAATCTACTTATATATATATATATATATATAATTACTTATAAAAATGACCATATATTTCTCCTTAAAAGTGACTCGTTATATAAGAGGGAGAGATTGTATTATAACCCTATATATAACATGTAATGTAGGAAAACCTAAGAAGCACCAATACGGGTACGAGTATTGGATACGATATGATATGATATGCAATTACAGTTATTTTTTGAAATTTAAAATACAGGTACAGCTATATAAATAATTAAATATTAAATATTTGAATGTTTAAAAATATAATTTCAAGATGTCTAATGACATCATAAAATATAATACAATAAGTAGTTAAGCATTTAAACACTATCAAGTGGCAAAAGATAATTATCAAATTAAAGTAATTTTAATTTTTTCTATCTTCATTGACACCACTACTTTTTCTTATAAGTTCTCTCTCCAAAAATGGTTCATCTAGAGATAAACTTGCAACTTTAAGGTTTTCAATATCATCTATTTCCCAACAATCTTCACTAATATTCGACAATCTACTTTTTCCAGTAAAATACTTCTCACTATTTCTTGAAAGAAGACAAAGATTTGAATGAACAAAAATTAAGTTCTCTGCTCTATTTGGAAGCATCTTGTTTCTCTTTAGTGAATGAGCAAAAGAATAAGTGCATCAATTTCTTTCACAACAAGATATAAGCATGGTTGATTGAGAAGTTTCAATGCAGTCCTTTAAAGTTTAGGAGCATCAACACTATGATTGCTCCACCAAACCTTAGGCTCTAATATTCATCTATCTTGTATGGAATCAACAAAAGAGAACTCATTTGAACATTCAGAAAACTTTGAAAATTCATTTATAACCAATTTCCTCTCTTCTTCATCTGGAAACATCCTTCTAAAACACTTTTTCCTCTCAGTTGATATTTCAGCATCTCTATGTGGGGAGACTCTATTTAGTCCACCTTCAAGCTATTGTATTGTATAATACCTACAATAATATAATAACATTAATTGGAGTTGTGATGTAAAAATGATAAAGAAAAGAATTTCATGATAAAAAATAAGAATAACACACCTATGATTCAGTAAGTAGGCAAGACAATGTAGTGGAGTGGCACTTTTTATCCATCGATCAATGATGATATTATAAACAACTTCATAAAATGAAGAGTGCTTAAAAAGTGATTTTCTCTCATGCTTATAAATTGATTCCTTGATTTGCTCTATCATTGAATTCCACATCTCATAAATCAAATGAAATGTGGGTCTATCTATATCAGCAAATCTCAACATATCATAAATTGGTTCAATGAAAAAGAGAATATAATCAACCTTCTCCCACCAAAGATCATTAAGAATTATGTCCTTCACAGTAGCAGCCTTTCCAACATCATCATCTCTGTAAGCATTCCATTCTTCACTAATAACCAATGTACGAAGAGAAGTTTTGATAAGTTTAAATCTCTTTAACATCACAATTGTTGATGCAAATCTTGTTTCGGCTATTACAAGCAACTTTAATGGCACAAATTCATTAAACATGGTTAATCTTATAGAATGATTCATGATAAGTGTTCAGATGAAAACTGCATCATCCCTCACCTCAGTGATCCAACGGCATTCTCTATAAATAATTTCATTTGCCTCTGTATTTTTTGCTGCACATATATTCTTTAAGGCAAGATTAAGTGTATGTACCACACATGGTGTCCAAAAAATGTGAGGATATTCATCTTCCACCATCTTACCAGCAGATTTACAAACAGGTGTATTATCAGTGATTACTTGCATAACTTTATGAGGCCTCACTTCTTCAACCACTTTCTTTATTAAGTCAGTCATGTAAAATCTATCTTTATACTCACTAGTTGCATCAATTGCCTTTAAAAACATGGGGCTTCTATCACTTATAGCCATGAAATTAACTAATGGCCTTCTTTGTACATCTGTCCAACCATCCATAACTATAATTACCTTCTTATGATTTCAAGTCCCTTTGATTGATTCAAGTTGCCTTTCAACATTGGCCCTTTCTTTTTGCAACAAAGTAGATCTTAGTGCATTATAACCAAGAGGTTTAAAACCAGAAATTACATTGCTGGCAGAATATTAAAATGCACTAATAAAATATAGATTACGTGCCAAATTGAAAGACAAGCTAGCCAAATAGAACATTCTAGCAATTTCAACAGTTAAATTATCTCTAGCTCCTTGTTGGAAAGCTCTTTCTATTGTATTTGTTGCCCTCATTTTTCCTTGATTGTGTTTACTTTGAATAAGGCTAGAACCCCTTTGACATAAAGGAGATAAGCTCTCAGTTGGAGTTGGCAATGGCACATGTTTTGATTTTGTTTTATTTTCAGCCTTCTCTTGAGCTTTTCGCATTTCACCTAAACAACTATCATCAACTTTTGAGCATATAGCAATATCCTTTTTAGAGATCCTCAATAAATAAAATATAACTCTAGAATAAGAGCCATTATATTGGTTATTATAATAGTTACACTTCCAACTTCTATTCCCACCTTCCCCTTTATTTTTTTGAGGAACCAAAGTTACATAAGCCTATAAAGGAGTACTCTTTTTCTGTCTTTCATTACTACATTGAAACTAAGAGTTCACACTTACCGGGTCTAGAACTAGAAGCCATTATAGGTTTAATTTTAAACAATATCTTGCTATTTTAACATGAAGAGAGCTAATAAAAATTTAAAATAAATCAATATTTAACTCAGCAATATAATCCATCTAAATAAAAAAAATTTAAATCAGTAACTCAGTATTAAATTAGAAAAACTAATCAGGTTGCTCTGCCTCTCTCTCTCTCTCTCGGTTCAGTAGTGAAATTGAGCAATAAATATTCATTATCCAGCAATGTAATAATATCAATAAATATCTAAGATTGAAGGCTCAACACAAAAGAGTAAAAGAAGTGAAGAGCAGAAGAGTCGCTCGGCGTACCAATATGTGAAGAACTGAAGATAAATTACCAAGATTGAAGGCTAAAGGTGAAAGAATGACAACAGTTGAAGGCGCTGAGGCAGAGCTCAGACAGTGAGGCAGCGTGTGAAGTAAGAAGTGAAAATGCCAGAGTTGAAGAACGACGACGGTCGACGAGGTAGTAAGCAATAGAGTGGCGAACGCGAGAAAAAGGTCGACTGGAGCTGAAAATCTTAAGGCATCAGGTTTCTAAAGTTGGGACTAAGTAAAAAGAAGTGAAAAATGCAAAGTTTCACGTCCACCCGTGTCCAACCCGTATCCGCCCGTGTCAACCCGTCTCAACCCGCATTCATCAAACATTGGGAAAAGGGACGAGGCATTTTTGCATCCTGAACACATGTCCATGTCGGATACGTATCCGACACGGACACGCCGGTCATTTTCATGTATCAGTGCTTTTAAGAGGAAAACTCATACTCCCTTCATTCAAAAATATGAAGCATTTTTTGACGAGTTAAATATTCAAAAATGTAAGGCATTTTTAGTTTTTTGAGTTGTAATCATTGCTTTTTTTAAAAAAAAGTCCTTATTGATGAATGATTTTATATTTATTGTAAGATGTTTAATAAAGGTAAATATAAAAAGATATAGTTAATTTGAAAGTGGGTTACTACTTTATTGGGAAGTGAGATTCAGTTAAAAATATCTTATATTTTTTAACGGAGGGAGTATCTAGTTTCTTAATAAAACTCATGGCTTGCAAGACATCAAATTGTCATCATCTCCAAGTGCAAATTATTTCATCTCATCAGTTGGAAGAAGCAAAGTAAACAAACCAGACAATACTGAAACAAGTGGGGCCTAAGACAATTGTGGATAATAAATATCATGCTCATGGTTTTCTCTAATTTTTTTTAATCACAAAAAGTTTCAATAAGTTATATCCCAAATACTCACCAGGATCAAGATATACTTTTAAGCTTAAAGAGTGTTTATAGAAAGTATTTATAAATTACTCATCAATAAGATCCTTATATCAACAATAGAATTTAAACCAATGACTTTGTAAGTTATAGATTAAATTCTTATCAATTAGAATTTGTGGCTTTGCTTTATTGGTAGCAAAGTAACAATTACAATGGAATAGAATCTCACCTAAGGGAGGGTTCATTTGCTATTTTTCATCAATGGAATGACTTTTTTTTTCCTTGGCCAAATGACATTGCAAAATTGAGCAGTAGGATTGAAGAAATGGCAATTTGATTCTACACATAGACATATTGGTTATAAAGTTTTATTTTTTATAATTAAATATGCAAAATATTTAAAGTGGGGTGGGCACTTGTTTTCGGCTAGCAAGTGGTGTTGGTAACTTTTTCTTTTTTTTGGTGGATTCGCCTATTCATGTTGGACTGTGAAATAAAGGTTGATTGGGCTAATTCACCAAAAATCTGTTCATTTTGATCCAACAAAAAAATTTAAATGAGGTTATTAATTTTGTTTTATTGGATTGACCCATTAATAGAAAGAGTGGACCACGAAATAGGTAGGTTTAAATTGGCCCTAATTACAAAGTATTCACTTTTCTATGATAAGATATCATTCTTCTTCTTCAATAGAGGCAAGACCAACCACCAGGGGTAGGGTCAAGCAAAAAAAGCTAACCTCTCATAACATAACTAATTAATATTTGAATTTTCAATAGCAAAAGTATTCACATTTAGTATTCAAATGGGTCTTGAATAGAATTACTTCTAATA